GTGTGTGTGTGTGTGTGTGTGTGTGTGTGTGTGTGTGTGTGTGTGTGTGTGTGTGTGTGTGTGTGTGTGTGTAAATCTGTATTTGCATGCTGGTATCCACCTGAAGTCATCGCCAGGCTTTTACAAGGTCCTGGTTACATGTAAACACACTACATCATGGCACTTAGCTCTTGTAAGTGTTTAGTTTATACAGAACGTCTTCAGCTCCTTACGATGTAAACATTGAGCAACATGCTTTACAGTGTGACAGTGTCCTCCTGTGACCTTGATGTTTCCTTGTTTGGCTGTAGGGAGCTTTTCATTAACAGTTATAAATCAAACAAGGAAGGATTCCTTTATACACTATGTGATCTCTGTCTGAATGGCACCTTTTTGTGAGGTTGTTGCTGCTGTTTTTGTTCCAGAAAAGCAGGCAAGTTTTAGCCCCGCTAGTGTCACGGTGCATTGTCTGTCTGTCGATCGATCGAAATATCTCAACAACTATTGGATGGATTGCCATGAAATCTTGTACACACATTTGTGGTCCCCAACCGAGGGATCCCGACTTTCGTGATCCTCCTTTGTGGGATTTTACCTCTAGCGCCACTGCAAGGTCTAGGGTGTGTAATCGTCAGTCAGGTGCATACACCACAGGACGCAGTATGGCCATACTTCCTCCTCTGTTAGTTGGTGCTCAAATGATTTGACAGTTGATATTTAAGAGGCATTAAACCACTAGTATGCCCAGATAATCTATTCTTTTTCTTGCTAAACTGTGCATAAAGTGGTGTTTTGCATCTTATTTTTTTTCATCCCACTACAAATATGTTTTAAAATGATAAACAAATACGGTACATTTCATCTTCTGCCAGTCGACTTGCAGCCCTCCTAAACAGGACATCCGGGTTAACCTCATGGGCCTTAATACATGTAGCCTCGCTGCGTTAAAGCAAAAGTAATTTGTGCCAAGGCAATCTGGTGCTATAATCCCCAGTATTAGCAGGAGGAGGAGGTGGGGGGGCGGCGGCTAACATGATTTCCTGGCTGTGGCCTAGATGGGACTCGGGCCTGTATTATCTGGCCATCAGAGAGAGTCAGCCTCAACTCTAATATCTGTGTGTTAGGAGAGCAGGAAATGGCCTTTTGTGTTGCTGGCCAATACAGCCCGCGGACAGGAAGAGAGGAAACATGCACTGTGTCGTGCCATGTCGGGCGACTGCCTCTCTGTGCGTGCAGCAATATTACAGAGAGGAGGAAGTCTAAGACTCGCAGACAGAATCGGCTCTTTTAACTCCTTCGCTCCCTCACTAACCATTCTTACTGGAGGTAGAGGCTAATTGGGGTCTGACAACCTAGGAAATATTGCTCTTCCTTCTCTCCCCTAGCCGTTCTTTTTGTCTCTCCTCTTACCTTACATTGGAATTTGTAAGACACCCGTGTTTAACAGAGCAGCGCTGTGTTAGCCCCCGAGAGCTTAAAGATTAAAGCAACCTCTTAGAGCATTTAAGGAAGTGGAAGGAACCTTCTTATTTTTTTTTTGCAGAAGGGGTTTGCTGTTTTCTCCTTCGTACTCGCTCATTTGTTTTGTTTTGTGCCAGCAGGTTGAATGGAAAATTGCAACAGGGCTGAGGCTCCGGGGTGGTTGAACATCTGGGCTGCTGTTGCTGAGAGAGAGAGAGAGAGGGGGGGGGGGGGGGGGGATGAGTTTGCCGCTCGCTTGAACCCAGACAGACAAACATAGGAATTTACTCGGTTTCACATTCCTCCATGTGTCATGCACAAGGACACACTTGGATGAGCATTTACACCCACCAATGTCAAGTACGCAGACACAGGCATGTCCATACAAAACACACAGTTGTGTCTGAGCCCCCCGAGGAGCAGAGGTGCCTCCAGCAGGAAAGCGTCTGCAGGCAGGCAGCTCCAGGGCCTCTGTAGGCTTCTGAAGCTGCTCCTCTGTTTGGCCTTGTGGGAAGGGGGGATCCAACAAGGGAGAAATCAAAAGAAATGATATCATAGAACCACACACACCTTTCAGATGTATCATTGTATGAGATCGTTGGAGCATGAACACCCATTTCTTCCTCCTTGGCCTCTCCTGCCTGCTGATGAAGCCGAGCGGAAACGATGTTCCTTAAGCATGTGGTATTCCACTCTGCTGCCCCTGCAGTTAATTGTTTTGATATGATCTCTGTACACGCTGTGTTTAATTGTTTAACTAGAGATCCAAGAGGATCTCAAGATAACCGTATTATATCCTGCAAGTGTGCATTATAGCCCATAACACATTATCACCAGAGCAATGACATCATCTTTTCAGCCTTGTCAAGTGTCTGTGTTGTGTCTAAATACACACCAGGAGGTGGAATGATACCCCCCCAAGCTTCTTTTTTCTGCTTTTTTTGGATATCAGCCCTCAGAGCTCTCGCAGCTCTGTTATCCGGGCACAGCGATGGCCATCAGGGACATGGCCAGGCGTAGGCATGTGTGTGGGAAGTGAGCAGGCAGGCAGGCTGTCACTTAGCATTACAGCACTACAGTCTCCCCGTGGGTGACGTGAGGGGAGTGGAAAGTGAGAAGACGAGAGAGAGATGGAAGAGTGAGAGGGAGAATACAAGAGTGGAGCAAACAATATACAGCAGCCCACACACCAAAACACACAACCGTGAGTCTAAGAAAGCTGCTGTTTGTTCTTCTTTTCATTGGACCGACCGCTGAAGATAAGCTCTTCTGACAATACTTCACTGCTGGCCTCTGGAAAGAGAATCCAAAGTGAAAGGATGCTAAGAGGTAAAGGGAAGTGTTAAAGACTGGGTAGAGAAGACAAAAATAGTCGGTTCATACCGTTCATCTGGTGGGTTGCAGATCAGTAAATAAGGCTCCAGCATCTCTGCAGTGAAACAACATCACACCAGTCCTCTCTACTGCAGCAACCTGGGATAGCAATGTTCTACACTGCTGCATTTGGCTTATTTTAGGAGCCCACATGACCTACAGTAGCTTGGTACTATTTAATGGTGTTCCTACCGGAAATATTTGAAAGCTAAACCTACGGTATGGCAGCATTCATCTGCACAGGAATATAACACCTGAGAAAGAGTTTTCCCGTTACAGATTTTTAAGGTAATTCGACAAATCAATTAGCTGAAGAAGTCTTTGTAACAAAGTTGTTTTTTGTTCAACCTTACAGCACCTGTCTGTTAATCACATAACAGTTGACCCCAGGCTTCAATTTGTGCAGATAGCAAACAATCAGTGGGTTAAGTCCAACTTTCATAAGCATGACTTGTGTAAGAGATGCAGTCAAACCAAAATGTGAGTTTCCCCTGTTGTCCCACAATGATATAAAGGGTTCTGCCAGACTTTTTTCCTGCGCTGGCACGAAGCGTTTGGCTCAAAGGTCTGGCCCAGGGAGGCTATGTTTCCATGGATGCTAACACGGCTATTGGCACTACAGAGTCTGATTGCTTTTGTTTATAACCCACTGCTGTCCTGTGATAGAGTTGCCTCAGTGTAACTCAGGAGCTGCCAAATTTGGCTAAACCCTGTGGGGATACAGGAGCCCGTTCTAGCTGGCAGACATCTCAAGCAGTAGTCAAAGGTGACATGATTATATTGTGTGCATGGGATCGGGGCCCATGGGTGCAGAGGGGAGTGGCAGAATCTAAACATCGGCTGGGTGGCCCAGTCTCTGCTCTGGCTGTGTCCTTTTTAGTGCTTAAGACTTCACGGTAGGCGACTGGCTTATTAGAGGGTCAGTGCTGAAACCCAGCGCCCCTACTGCACATACACGGATTATTACCTAACATATTAGATTAGATCGATTTATCATGAACGTGTCACAAATTAGCCCATAAAATGAAAAAGTAAACATTCTAAATTCTTAATAAACTAAATAAAGGAATACATTTTTTGTGCCTCAGTCCAGAGAGAGAGAGACGAGGCCTCAGGAATTATAGCTGGATTCACAATGTGATATTCAAATGCTGATGCAATGGCTTCCATAACATTCTACTACTTTATTGATCTATGTGAGCTTTTGTGTCTCCAGTGTTTGTAGGCTGGCTGTCATTCTTCTGATGATTTCCTGTTGCTGATCCAGGAATCTTGATTTGATGACAGGATGGCATTACCTGCATGGATTGTTGATGGCAGGAAGCATGTGTGAAGCGTTAGCACTTGATTTGAGGCTTAATTCATGGTTAACATCGACATCTGCCTCAAGCTGGAGTTGAGTCACAGTACACAAGTTCAGAAGTTACTCAGTTTACTTTCTTACTGTACTTTACTACCCAGTCAGTAGTATGTGTTATAAAGCACAGCATGCTGTTGATCCTTGCATTTACAGTATTTACTCAATGCGACAATGCTTTGTATTTATCTCTCTGTGTATTTTTAATGACAGTTACCGAAGCATACACCTGCTCTGAAGCTTCCTGAAAACATATTTTCTCACTCAGCTTCTCACCATCAGTTGTTTTTTTTGCCAAAGAACAGTTTGGCTTATTTCATGTGACAGATTACTGTATTTGTCTTTTTGTCTGTGGACATCTCACTGGTTGGATGTAGGTGGAGCTCGGTCGGAAAAACATGATTGGCATAGGTCTGTGTACCAATCACAATTCAACTATCTTAATCAAAATATGATGAAAGCTGTGGTGTTTGCTTTTACTTTGCTAACATTGCTCTCTGTCTGCTTGATTTATCAGTATCAACAGTATCTACTTTATATGGTGATAACATGAAAACGTTGTGTTTACTGAATAGCTTGCTGCACTGCCAAACACGTCAATTAATGCAGGTCTATGTTCAGTTTTTGAAAAAATGTATAAAAGAGGGTAAATGCTCTGAAATAGTCCTGCAAGGATGATGGATTTTTGTAGGCCAATGCAGAAGTTAATATTCCCATTGGATTTTGGATTATTGCAGGTAATAAACAAACCTTTATTATACTTGCACATTTTGTTCAGCAACATAATCTTCACGAATAAAAACACCCCGTTTAGGACTTTTCAAGCTTAAATGCAAGTGCCACAAGTAAAACGATAACGTGAGGCTATAAAGGAACCCACCACTTCGATGTAACCGCCCTCTTCCAACTCATGCAATATGCGTTTGTGTGACAACCCCGACAACCACTGTACTCTCATATAGCTACTTGTTAAGAAACCGCCTTTTTTAGGACTATCAACACCGAGGGGTTTTATATCGTAGAACAAAAATTCAAATCTCTTCAGCTTGTGTTAACTAAAGACCTTATTTCAGGGATCGAAACAAAACTCCTTCCATAAAAACAAAAAAAGACAGACTTTGATTTCTGACTCAATTCCTGGTTTTAGGGCTCATTCCTGCAGCACTCTATTGGATTGAAAGAGATTTTTATTGGTAAATGGGGTCCTTTAAAAAAAAAACAAGGTTTTAAAAAAATCATTGTATTGTAAAGACCCCAAGAATGCACCAAGTTGGTTCAAATGTGGGATCTTTTAAAGCTGGATTGAAGGCGAGTGAGGCAGCGGTTGGCAGCTCATGAAATGGACACACTAACAATAATCCTTTTTGCAACACTTGTAAGTATTTGAAGCTCTCATGCAGAGTTGAGCTGTACCCGGTCTGATCTCGACATAACTGCATTTGACAGAGCATTTTCCAGGCACATTTGTTCAGCCGTCAGTTTATTTGGCTCGTGGGAACGCTGCGCCTTCAGGGTCAGACCAACATCAGGGGCTGCTGTCTGTAGAAATAATAGAGCAGACAGTGTTACTGCACAGAGGGCAGAGAAACGAAAATTGAAACGGATACAGAAGGGGGTTAAACGAGGTCAGATGGAAAGAGCTTAACGGTGCATAAAAGAGAGCAATAGGAAGCACTGGGGGGAGACATTGAGTGAGCAAGGGCTAGAAAAGGGGAACATTTTAAAAAAAAGCGAGAGAAATGGAGCATGAAGTATAGATGGATAGAAAGTTAGAGGAAGGAGAGAAGGAAAGGGCAGTGAGGGAGGCTGCTGCTTCGGGCTTTAGGGTTTGCTCACATTCTCCTCTGCTGGCATCTGCCACCGCTGCTGAACACAGCTGAAGTCCATCTGAGGAGCTCTTCTGTCAGCCTTCCAAGCGCACCACGCTGCACACGCACTGCGCACACCACGCTGCACCGCCAAGACGAGGGAGTGAAAGCAACCCGTAGTAGGCTCAGAGCGAGAGGGAAGAAGCACAAAGAGCAGCAGGATAAAGTAGCAGAAAGAGTTCAGTGTCACCGCACGCCGAGCATCGGTCTTTGGTGGAGACGTAGACTTTAACCCGGCACACTGAATCCGTCAGGATCACAGGACAGGATGATCAAGTCCAGTTGGTTTTATGTCAAGTTCAAATACAACGAGAAGGTAAGTACATATGTTGATTTCTTTATTTTTCTGCTCCCCCTGGGCTGATTCCTCTACTCTGAGTGTCCTGGCAAATATCTGTGACATTGATTGTCCATGAAAGTGTTGAATTATTGAGCCGTGCATGGATACTCTTTCCAGACATTCTTCATCTTCTCTCAGTGGAACTTTGAAGAAGAGGCCTGTGGTAAAAAGTATTTCACAGAAAGGCAATACACAGCAAACATATTATCTTCAATGCCATTTGATTGATAGCATTGCATGTTTTATTAGCACTTTGCTTACAATCTTTGCAAATTCAGTTCAAAACAATTTGTTTTTAAATGGAGGTGCTGCTATTTGCATTTAGTACCCTAGTTGCTAAAGTGTGAACATCCCAGATTTCATTTTCTTACAAATGTCTGGTGAGCACAGCATATAATACAAAATATATCTTGCAATATACCTTAATAAATATAAACAAATGTAGTATAACAGAAGATGCATCCACAGTAAAGTACAGAAACCCTGTCGCAGAAGTGTTGATGTAAGATGAGGGCATGAGCTTGTCTTGAGATGCAGTTCTGAAGGTTTTTTAGGCAGTGGGTGACGTCTCTGTCTGGACATCGGAGCCTATAGCTTGTGTAATGGGATTGAGTCTGATGGGACACACGTCCTCAGCCTCCTCTGTGTGTGGATGCCATTACTCTGTGAAAGCCAAGCTTCGGGTCAACAGCCAGCACTTTCCCCAAACGGTCGCAGATGTGCAAATGAAAGCGGCTAGTGTTACTTTTACCTTCAGTCAGTTAAGCAGTCAATCAGTGACCGGCGGGTCAGTCGGCCGGCCGGCTCGGCGGCTCCCGTTCGTGCCTCGTCTCTCTTTGTGTCATGGCGACGGTTTTGGTGGTGACCCCTTTATGCTGATCGAGTTCTCCACTCAGCATCAGGTGTCTGCGCTGTCGGATCAATAAAGCTATCTCATTACATAAAACGCTGGGAAGCAGAGCTCTGTTTACTCTGTTAACGTCTCACGGTTTAGTTTGAACACGTGGCACTATAAAAGAATCTAGAAGCAGCGTACATATGTTGGACTGGGCTGTTATCGTGGAGAAGTGAGAATGTGCCAAGTGGCCTCATGGGAGCATCTGTCGGTGCCCGAAGTGCTCCGTTTCCATCTGGCCTGCCATTTTGTACTTTAGCAGTCTTAGAGGTGGAGAAGTGAGAAGATGGCCGCTCTATTTATCTTTTAGAACCAGGTCTATTGTAACGATATCGATTCCCCTTTACAGCCTGTCAAAGAGTTTTACACCACCATGTGTCCAAGAAACAGCCAACATCTAAACTATGAACACAAATATACTGAATATTAAGAACTGATGGTTTCCAACAAAGAAAAGAGCAGTTGACTTTAAATATAAGTGTGGAAAAACGCTAAACACTCAACTTTGTTTGTTGAAGAAGTATTATTGCTTTCTGCAAAACCTGCTAAGTGACGTTATTAGAGCTGATTGGAACCATTGCTGGAGTGCTGGTCAGCATTGAAGCCAGCAAAACAAAAGGCGTCGGATCAAAAAGAACTGTTGCTGTAAAACTTGGCAAGAACACAACAATGGAGACTAGTTGAAGCAGCCATGACAACAGCACGGGTGTCCGCTGGCAGTGTCTGGTATAACAGTGGAGGAAAGTTTCTCTTCCTCTCGCTCATCCCATTACCCTTGTCAAAGTTACGCGGGTAACAAGTTTCCACATCACAGTTCCTCCCCCCAAATTAGGAGGAGGGCAATGGAGGGAGTTGAAACGGAAAGAGCCGAGACAAGATGGCTGGTTGGTTTTTATTTTAATAATTATGTCACGTAAAGGAGGGAAGAGATAAAGATGTAACGCTTGAGCTGATTTGTTACAAGCCTCGTTGAATCAGAAATATCTCTAAATTTGCACTGAATCGATAGCAGAGGCTCCAGAGAGTATTTTTACTACTAAAGTATGAAGAATTCAGCAGCTTGGTCAGCTGGTGCTGTACGTCTGGCTACACTGATCCTCATTACTAGGCCGTCCTCTACTTCTCTATTTTCCTCCGTGTCTGTGTTCCCAGTTAGAAGAGCGTGTACACAAGAACAGGATGTGTATGTCGGGGCTTATGGGGGTCTGGGCCGATTGCTGAGCGTGTGTCGGAGGAGGAGGAGAAGAAGAAGGGCATTTGCAGCCTTCGGCTTTTCCTGCTCCCAGCTGTCTCGCCTCAGGAGCAGCCAGCCTCTGTGTGATTACGCATGATTGACAGGCACCCTTTCAGCAGCATGCCAATAGGAAGTGACCTTAAACAAGTGTTGCCATTTTTGACTGAGTGAGTCTTTCATTTGACCCCCTCCCCCCCCCCAACCGACCCACCGCCTGCCTCGCTCTCTAAAGAGAAAGGGTGAGAAGGGCACGGAGCATGGTGGCTTCTGGGTCAAGACCAGGTCGTTGAAGTCTGAGGAAAGGGTAATTGCCACCCCTGTGTGTGGGCTCATGTCCTGAAGTGAGAGGGAGGTAGAGGCTGGATTACATTCCAGGTGGAATACAACACTGAAGTCCTCCTCTGTGTGTCTGCTCGCAGCTCTTTGTCCTCTAAACCAGTGCCAGGACCCCCCAGTGGGCCAACTCTGTGGCCGCGGACCCACAGAGGGCGAACAGCAACCTGACTCACACTGGATTAATTCACTTTAACACACACTGAGTGCCCTGTGATTGGTCTGTTAACTCTGGCCTCACCCATGGCCAGATGGCTGCTTTTGGAGAGAAACATTTACATGTTCGGGTACTTAACTGATGTCTTTAATAATGTACAGCGAGGAAACATTGTCATTGTAGTAATAGAAGATGTGGGTAACATCCTTATTTCCCCATTGGCGTCATAAGCTCATACAGCTAGTTGGTTTCAAAGACCTGGACCCCTGACTGAACAACATAGAATAACACTAAGTCCTTCAGTAGACACCCTACTGGAAGTATTAAAAGTGCTCATGCTGCAAAAACATTGACAGTGACTGATATTATATTTCATATGACATTATTAGATCTGTTGCTGCTGCAGGTAGTTTAGTTTTGTGGTTCCCAAACTAAGGGTCAGGCCCCTCCGGTGGGTCCCCAAATACATCTGAGGGGTGTTGAGAAGATTATTTGAATGGAAGGAAAGAAGAACTATTTCTATATGAAACCATGTGAGAAGTTTAGTGGATTAATGGGTTTGGTTGAGCTGCTAACAACTCAAACATCTGAAACGGGACACGGTGCCACCACCACACACGGCTTATTTTGTATCAGCTCACAGGCCAGAAAGGTTGCGAGCCACTGGTTTAAACTTTAGCCCTGCACTGTACTTTATAAGACTATAACCAAGTGCTGCTAGTGCCTAAACATAACCATAGAACATGCAATAAAGCAGATACTGTATTGCAATAAAACAAGTGAAATACTTTGTCAGTGAATTTTACTGAAATGTTCAGTGTCACGATTTTTCCGACCTGACAGATACGATAATTATCAACGTATTTGCTTATATACAAACAAGTTCTAGCAGAAAGGGTTGTTTTTCTGTAATATTAATCTGATAAGTAACTAATAACTATAGCAATCAAATAAATGTAGAATGACAAAAAGCAATATTTCCCTTATAACCGTGTACAGTACCTTTTAAAATGTACTTCCTTCCCACTGGTCACTAACTAACTGGTAGTTACAGATCCTAAAGAGAATCACATAGTAACGCATACGAAGCTGGAGGTAGCTTGAGGAAAGATTTGTTGCAGAGCTTACATTTGGCAGTGGGTGAGACTTTCTGTGGCCTACTTCTGTTGTTTGTCTTGAGTGTGTCTGTGCAGTATACTGATGAAAAGCTTGTTCTGCTATAGACATGCAGTACATTGATGTGTTCAGTAGTTTATCGGGGCTTATACTGTACACACGGCACAATATTTATCTGCAAGTTGTATTTATTTTGGATCGAATTTCAAACCATGTGTTCTACAAAATAACACACTCAAGACTGCTGCTATTACATTCAAACCTTCAAACAAACTGTGGCTTTCTTAACGTTGGCAGATTTATATGCCTTACCGCTAAACTACAGCTGCTCAGTATCGCTTTGTGTTCTTGCACTCAGTATCCTAACTTTATGAAGACTCAACTGAATCATTTACAATTCATTCAATTTACATTGGAATACAAAAACAAATGTGTTTCAGTTGCCTTGTCCGGGCTACTTGCCCCTCTACGGAAGGAAGCGAGATGGCCCACTCCTCAGCACCTTCCATCATCAGCTAAAGAAAAAGGATCATTTTTTTTAATATATTGTTGAGCCCTTTGTTATTCATTGTTGCAGCTTTATTTTATACTGCAGCTCAAGCATAAGGATGCTGGACAGATTGTAGAGCCCCTTGAGGAACGTTTCTGTTTTGTGATAGGGCTATGTATAAAGAATTGTCTAATTTACTCACAATTGGGTAAATCCCAGGTCCTATATATTTAAGGCCTGTTCAAGGCTCCAGACTAACTTTTCCAAAGTTGGTCACACCAGCACATAATTTGGTTGTGCATTTTTGATGCTACTTTCTAATATTATATGTTTTACTTCATTACAATTATGTGTATTGAGTAAATGAAATACAACAAATTGTTACGCAGTAAATGAAACCACCCAGCAGTATGAAAGATTGAATACAATAAGCTCAATTGCACTCAGCTACAACATTAAAATGCAGCTTACGATTTACGCCATCAATGACAATAACCTAATATTTACATGTATAATAATGTTCCAAATACAAAGCACCAGCCGCCTCCTCCTGCGTATGAAACCATTTTGTCTCATCCTGGAGCCCTGCTGTTGGATGAGACAGTCCAAACTCTCTCTGTGTTCCCACATATTGTTGATTGACTGGCTGTATTTACTGAGCCTGTGTGCCAGGCCTGGTTTGTTGGACAGTAGAGGGCGACTGTAATGACTGTAATGACTATAATGACTGTGAAACCCAGAGAGTGGGGTG